AGTCCTGGGCCCGGGCTCCCCTCGCCGGGTCTGTGCTGAGCGCACGGATTCTCTCCGCCCCTGTAGCCCCTGCTTCACACCCTCCCGCCCGGCCGGTTTCCAGTCGCCCACTAAGTAAATATTTACCCAGAGAGTGGGTCTCCCCGCAGAGGAGGCCTCGACAGCGCCCTGGAAAGGACTTATGGCTTCTCCTCAGCCTGTGCCAGCTGCGGGCCCTACCGGTTGTGTTTTGGTTTTGGTCTTAAATTTCTTTTCGTCGTTGCGATCTCGGTGTGATCTCCTGGCTCCAGGGCGGGCAGTAAAGAGGGGGCACTGAGCCCAGCTGACCTTGCTCCTTCCCGCATCCCTGGGCCCACGGAGGAGGCTTGCCATCCCTTAGTCTCCCCCTCCCTCTCTCCCTTCTTCTACCCCCCTCTCTCGTGCGTCTCTGTCAGGTCACTGTCTGTCCTGGGGTCGCCAGCTCCCTGGCTCAGTGTGCGTCCCCCGGAGGGTGCAGCGTCTGCCTCTTATCTAGGATCCCCTGAAGCTTCGGCTCCTCTGGTCCCAGGAGCCCCGGCCTCGGCTTGGGTACTTAGCATCCCAGACACCAAAGCCTCCACCGGTGCCCTAGGGAATGTGCACTGCGGAGAGCGCCACACACCCCCATTGTTCTCCCCCCCCCATCCTCTCCAGGTGTAAAGAGTCCTGTGGGGCTAAGACCGCATGGCGACACCAAGTCCAGCAGGTGGAACTGGAGACAGAGCGGCGGACTGTTCAAGGGCTCAGGGAAATGAGGCAGGTGAAGGTGATGAGGGAATGAGAGGGTGCTGTGTTAGGTCCACTGTCCTAGCTGGAACCCTAGCAATACGAGTCTCTGGGTCATTCTGGGCTGGTGCAGTGCATCCCCTAAAGCCCTCGCACAGCTCCTAGTCCACATCAGGGCACTGGGTCTTGCCACTCCCAGGGCGGAACTTTAGCCGACACCGCAGCCCCACAGGGTCAGAGGAGAGTCCTGGGCGCAGCGGAGCGCAGAAGAGTCCACCACAGCAGGTGGCTGTGCTTCTGCGGGGGGCGGGGTCAGGGGGGTTCTGGGTCAAGATGCTCAGCGTGATCATTCCTCCAAAGAAGCCGAAGGCAAACTCCTAAGCGCTCCTGCGATATCAGTGGTAGCTAATTTGTACTCCTGCCCCACGAAGCAGCTGCCAGTTCTAACTGCTTGGATTCCCGAAGGACCTCCGTCCACGTTGTAAAGTGCTTGTCGGTGCCACACAACAGGTGTTGGGGGTCAGAACCCAGGGAAAAGTCCCTAGTTGTGGGACTTTTTGCAAGAACCCGACTGTAAAGAATTACGTATGTTTGAAGTCATCTTTCCTTTATCGTTCAAATCTTTCATATCTGTAAATTTGAACTTGGAGTGCGCACCATAGGACAGAAAGGATCTGGAGATTACTCTTGGGTTTAAAAAGCACAACTGATCATTAGTTTTGTCACTTACTGCCCCGGGTTCTGGGCCCAGTCAGCTTCCCTATGCATAGACCAGAGGCACACACATCCCTGGGGATTGTGGGACGATCGGCCGAATCCTGCGTGAACCAGAAGGAGCGTCACTCAGACAGCAAGCAGTATGCGTGTCACAGACCCGAAGCAGTACAGCTCCCAAGTTCATTCAAAATGTCCCCCATATTGTTTTAAAAACTTTGATTAGCATTCTCCAAAACCCACACCCAAAGTGTGAATAATTTTGGCCACCAAAAAAGAGTACTGTACACTTCAGATTAGAATTAGGGTGAACGAAAGTGGAAACTCAGAGAGAGAGGGTGAACTTCAAGGACTCTGGTAGCTAAACCGAAGATGCGGGGTTCACACACACACACACACACACACACACACATCTTGGGACAAGTCTCTCTCACAGTTAAACAAAACTCCTGTGCGGTGGTCTGCTAGTGGGGGAAGCCGGCAGATGTTCATACTGAGCACCCGCGGACCAGCACCGTGGCTGAGCGCAGGGCGCTCTGGCCTCCGCTGACTGTGCCCCGCGCCAGGTGACCTGTCGGTGGCTGTAGGCGCCCGTGGTTGCGTTCTCCGCACACAGCAGGGCCCCTGCCCGGAGCCTGCGTGGCTGACACTGGGCCCCGCGCTCCTGGGTGAACCCTCCTGTAGAGGCTGCTGCGTGGGGCTGGTCGCGGGGGCGGAGGAGGCGTTTGCACCTGGCGGTCAGTGTGGCCGCCACCTCTGCCTCGGCCTCCCCTAAACCTTGTCTCTGCGATGGGCCTTTCTTCCCGCACCCGCGCTGTCGCCACCTGGCTTGGGGTGGCGACACCTGGTAACAATTCTAAGACGTTTGTCTGTCCCCCAAAGAAGTCTCCTTAGCCCCTTCCCTTTTTGAGTCTCATATTGGGACCAAACGCTTTAATGTGCTTATTCAGCACTTTTATCAGCATAATTTTGCTGTCTGTTTGCGCTGCTCCTCGGAAGGTGTCAAACACCAGATTTCATTGTATTTAGTCACCCAGGTGCCGAGCAAGCTCGAGGAGACAGCGGAAGGACTTTCCGGACGGCGCTGTCGCTCACGGCCCCGCACCAATCACCGCGCAGCCTGCCCTCGGGCCCACCCCTTTGGGGGGCGTGTCCTTGGTGAGTGATAGACAGAGCCGCCCGGCCCGCTCAGCCCAGCCCACGTTGCTGCTTAGGTTGAAATGCAGAACTCAAGCCTCTTTCAGCGGGGCACAGACTTCCTTTTACTCCTTCCTTTTGCACTCTCGCCGCCTCCTCCCGGAGAGAAGCGGAGGCACCCACGGCCCGGGGCAGCGACAGGCTGGGACACTGAAGCCGTGCGAAAAGTTTCTTTCTGGAAGCTCGGAACTGGGGCCCGGTTGGTGTGCTGCTCGGAGCAATGGGTGAGTGGCGGCGGGGGACGCTGTCAGAGTCGGGGAGGGAGGGAGGGAGCAAGAGAGAGAGAGAGAGAGAGAGAGAGAGAGAGAGGGCGCGCACCCCTGAGCGCTCACACTTTCCGTATTGACTTTGCTCGTGTTCCTACAACTTGTAGGAACACGCTAAGGGTCAGAGGCGCACAGCAGTTCAGTCTAAACGCTGGCTACTGGGTTGCTGTTGATGCTCGTTTCTGATGTTAAGAGGAGGGAGCCGTGGCAAGCCCCGCAGCCCCCGTGGCAGACCAAGTTTTGTCTCCCATACTGTACACGCACGCACGCAAACAAACAGGACAGAGAAAAACCCTGCAGTTTCCCCAAGATCTTGTCTAATTGCGCAGGTCCCTAAGGCGGGGCGCTGGGGACCAAGGGGAGCGGCCCAAGAACTTTAGCGCCGAGTAGCCGCGAAGGAGCGGGTTGCAGGCGTCATGAGCGATTTCCTCGCCCGCTTCCGCGACTTTCGAGCGCTCCAAGCGGCCCTGCGTTTCCCCACGTTATTTGTTTCCAGCGGCTGCCAGCACCATCGGCATGAGGGAGGGGGTCTGACTGGACCGCGGCGGTTTGGGGCGGTTCTGCAGTGCTCGGGGACCAGAGGGTTTGAGGAAAGCCCGGGGCCCCTGGTCCGTGGCAACCGCCCTGCCCCTTGACGCGCGCGGAGGCCGAGCGGCCGGCGGCCGTCCCAAGCTGCGGGTGCGCGTCCCCGCGCGCCGCGTGTTTGTTTTGCAGAGCCAGCCTTCGGGGAGGTGAACCAGCTGGGAGGAGTGTTCGTGAACGGGAGGCCGCTGCCCAACGCCATCCGGCTTCGCATCGTGGAACTGGCCCAACTGGGCATCAGACCGTGTGACATCAGCCGCCAGCTACGAGTCTCTCATGGCTGCGTCAGCAAGATCCTGGCGCGCTACAACGAGACAGGCTCGATTTTGCCAGGAGCCATCGGGGGCAGCAAGCCCCGGGTCACCACCCCTACCGTGGTGAAGCACATCCGGACCTACAAGCAGAGGGACCCCGGCATCTTCGCCTGGGAGATCCGGGACCGCCTACTGGCCGACGGCGTGTGTGACAAGTACAACGTGCCCTCCGTGAGCTCCATCAGCCGCATCCTGCGTAACAAGATCGGCAACTTGGCCCAACAGGCCCATTACGACTCGTACAAGCAGCACCAGCCCGCTCCGCAGCCGGCGCTGCCCTATAACCACATCTACTCCTACCCCAGCCCCATCACGGCGGCCGCCGCTAAGGTGCCCACGCCGCCCGGGGTGCCCGCCATCCCCGGCTCCGTGGCCATGCCGCGCACCTGGCCCTCCTCCCACTCCGTTACCGACATCCTGGGAATTCGCTCCATCACCGACCAAGGTAAGGCTCGGGGGCCGCCGCGAGGACGTGCAGACTCTCCCTCCGCACCCTCGACCGAGTGTCCGTACTTGCGGCTTCCGCCCAAGTCTATCCCACCACCCGGGGCTTTTTCCTTTGGAAATGGAAGGAGTCCTCCCAGGGGGTGTCCTGATCTCATTAACTTGAAATTCATGCCGCTGGTTTCCTTACCACA